AGAGCCCTTATTCCAGCCCTAAACAGGGCTTCGTAGATGTATCATATGGCATTATCGTGTTCTAAAATACCAAAATTCTGTTATAAAATAGAATTTGCTTTTGCTAACTTAATCACACTCGAAGAAGATCTATTGCATTAAAAATTTAAGATTTAAGATTTAATTACAATAAAATACTTCGATAAATGCAATATTATTAATATCATTAACTGTTTCCAAATTTTATGTACGTTTAATCTAAATTTATCTTAAGTATTTAAGTACCTTTACTGTTACTACAACTGTTTCAACAGAATTTTTATTAACCCTTTGTACTCGAGAGGTGACCTTCAGTCACCATTTCATAAAATTTGCAAGATCGATATTAATTAATATATCAAATTTAATGTAACGTAACAGTGTGCGAAGTATGGAAGTCAAATAATTCTATAATTCTATTATCATACAATTTTTTATTTACTGCTCAAAAAAGTTTCGTCAGTTTTTTAGTAGAGAATCTTTGAATTTCTACTCTTCTTTAGTCAAAAAATCGTCGAGTACAAAGGGTCAATGTTAACCGTTTCTCTCAATCCTTAAATTTTGTCTGTTCACCCACTCATATTAACACTTTGCATTTGGCGATCTTACAGAAATATAATAATTCGAAAATTTTCTGCCATAAAGTCGATGATATTTTCAAAATGGTAAATAATAAGTGCAAATTAACAATAAGACGTAGAATTATTTTACCTCGATGTTCCACGTGTCGTTGGGCAATTTTAAATTCCAGATATTAATTAATAACGATCTTTAGAATTTGAGTAAATGGTGGCACAGTCGCCTCTCGAGTGCAAAGGGTTAAGCATGGTATATTGTATCTTTTATCGGCCAACAACAATTCTAGATGACTCTGTACTATATTATTCTTTTCCATGTTTCCAAAGGGCTATTACCCTTTAAGATAAATAAATAAATAAATAAATAAATGAATAAGTAAATTATTAAGCTATTTTCAACTCAACTGATGCAATGACTAACATAGGACATATTCATTTGCATAATTCATCCCTCGACACATTATACAGCCTCGATATATCGCGAGATTCTGATATTAGGGAAGGTCAGAAGATCAGAATGGTAGGTCAGTACTCCATTCCCGATTTTTAATAAATTCCGTGAACAAAATACCAGTACAACGATTACTATGTCTAATAAAATGTATACTTGGCTATCTAATTACGTGATTAAAACTGATTTTATTTTATAACAAATAAGGTATATTAATGGTCTTTCTAACGTCTATTATCTTGTATAGATTAGCTATGGTGAGAGTAGGTTGACTATAATTTCTTCTAACAAGTTATTTACGAATTATAATGTTCATAGGAACTATTAAATTTAAGTATAACGACAAAATCTTAGAGTATTACAGAAACATATGAGCCGTTCACTGCACAAATCGATTAACTCCGCTTTTTGAAAAATCTTAAATACGAAAAGTTATGATTATACCAAGTACTTTGACACTTAAATTTAAGATTTTTCAAAAAGTCGAGTTAATCGATTTATGCAGCGAACGGTTCATATAGGTTCGCAAATTTGATACGTAATTTTTACACGTTTAAAATAAATAACCTGTGTTAATAATTAATCACTAATGCATTTTATTTATTTATTTTTATTTATTTCTGTTTTATACTAAGCTTTCCTATTTACCAATTATGAAACTCCTGATGTGACGAAATTTGCTGTTTTAAACCTTCAGTTCTCAGAAAAACTGTGCTACCTATAAAATGACTTACACTTTGCTCAAAAAGTAAATTAACGATTCGCATACACGAGTAATATGTGTTAAATTATTAACGTATTCTTTTTAATTTGCATATATATGTAAATGTGTATATATTAATTTACATATTCTTTTTAATTATTTATGTCATATAAATATGTATATAAATCCATAAATTGAATTTATTAGCGAATTATTCACGTTATTAGCGAATAAACAAAAATAAATATGAAATGCATATTTTATCAATTATTACAGCATCGGGAGATAAGTTAACGCTTCGAACTAGTAGTATGATAGTCTTTCTCTTGTATCAGCTTCAAGACGTTTTGGAATACTAGAGATTAATTTGTTAATGATTTTCATATTTATATTATTCCATTCAAATCTTCATGCATCTATAAACATTATTTTCAATACCTTCTATTGATTTTTGTTATATTTCTTTCCAAATGATTCCATAGATGTTCAATTAGGTTTATATCGTGGCTCTGAGGTGGCCATTTTGATAACAGAATATTATTTTCTCCAAAAAGTTTCATTATAATTCTTGCTTTGCGTGAAGAAGAATTGTCCTGTTGAAATATAAAATTATTTTCAAACCCTCTTTGCATTTCTGCAAAATCAAACAAATTTGTTTTCGATAAGTTTATGTATCCAACTGCTTTTAATTTGCTTCCAATGATTGTTAATTTTCTGTGATAAGTTAAAATAAACTATACCACTCCAGTGATGAATCTCAAAAAAAATGACGGCTAACGTTACTAGCGCTTTAGTGAGTGATAGAAGAAACAATATAACATCATGTGACACAGTAGCAAGATGTTTGATAGATCGGTAACATATAACTTGATAGCAGAAACATTAACTTACTTTTTAAATAATATATTAATATTATTAATATATGATTAATATTAACAATATAATAATAAAAATGTATAGTAATATTACTAATAATAACAACAATAGATAATAACAATATATAACAATATTAATAATAACAATAAAAAATATAAAAAATCATAATAGACAAAAATAAATAATACATTAATAATAATTATGGCAATAATGTATAATAATTTGATAATAATTTTTCAATTTCAATAAAAGTAAATATTAATTTTTCTAAAATCAGTTAAATATTTTTAAGTAACTAGAAAGTAACTATAAAGTCAGAAAAAGCTATTTAATAACTGACTAATAGCTAATTATATTATAGTATAATATAAATAACCCAAAGCTAGTTATTTCAACCGATTTGATATTTCTAGAGTTCTAGATTATGAACATAACAAATTATACTATTTATTTTATCACAATTCCACTATCAGGAGATTCTTCATTCGTTTTAAACGAATTCATAGTTCAATATCCCACAAATATATGATGATATATGAAGCAAACCGTTGTTGCAACATACGCTACAATTAACTCGGAAGTGATAACGAGTTTGTAGGCTTGGGCAACTGGCCGATTACAATATTGCAAACTGACACCATTTCTAACACTCTTATTTATCTTCTGATCATAAGGAAATCGTTCTCACGATGTACCCGTGGCTGTTCTATTTTGCTTAACATTAAATACCCCCATATTTAAATATTATATTTAAAATTTATATTTGAAATATAAATTTATAATTAATTCGATCATTAAAATTTTTGAAAGTCCACTATACTTGAGTCAAATCCACTGTTCGAAGTTAGTCATCTGCACTTAATAATTATTTTTTTATTCTCTAAATAATTTTAAATAATCATTTTTCCATTTTCTAAATAATTTGAAGTAATTATTTTTTCATTCTCTAAATAATTAGAAATTATTTTTACTTGATACGTTTATTGTCATTAATTGTCCTATTTTATGAATCTGGCTAAAAATGAGAAAAAGCTTTACCCACTTTATTTTATAGATTCTGACTAATATCCAATAGTAAATTGCTGTATACTGCGAAAATTTTATATTTCTGTACTAAAATAAAATAAAATGTATATTATCTTCCATTATATTAGCGAAAGAATTATTTATTTATTTCTAACATTTTACATTAAAGTCTCCATTGTATTTTGATCACTTCATCATTTCTGAGTCCTATTTTTCCAGAAAAGAAACTATGCATTATAACATGAACTTTCTTCAAACGTCCAATATGTTCCTTTTAATCCTTCGAAGATTGAATTATTTTACAAAAATCGAACAAAAATTCAAAAATTTTTTTCTTATCGATTTACTAAGTGATTACGATCTCCAATAGCTTGTAATAATCAAAATTACAAAGAAGTTAATATTCCAGAAAATAGGAATACTCGCGGTTCGATGTGACTCTAATTCCATGGTAATTAAGTTAGTGGATAAAGTAGGACTCTGTTAACTCTGTAAAGGAAATTTTACGTAACCTCAAAATCGTGTTAACACAAACACAGTCGATAAGAGATTAAAAGCTGGCAAAGTTAATTCATAGTTAGCAATTAACGTGTCAACGTTAAATCTATTAAACTCAAATTAATCGTTCCTATAATTTTTGTAATCTCAACTGATATTTCAACAAATTTTACGTTGCAATATATTGGGTTGGTTAAAAACGAATTTTGGTATTTTCAGTATAAAATAGTGATAATTCTTTTTTTAAACGAAAAACCGTTTATTACGTAACATATCGTCGAATAAATCATTTTGGTCCATAACTGTCAGCCATATTGTGGCCAGTTGCTAATTCCAATTAGCATGTGGTAATACATTATTTAATACTTGTACCGAGGAAGAAGAGTATCATCTACTACTAAAATCTAGTGTTATTTATTGGACAACATAATACACATAATGACTAGTAAGTTTAGTGTTGATAAACATCAGTGTTGCGTAATTTCAAGTAACATAACGTCAATGATATAATAAGTTCTGTGATCTCTCTTACCCATTTTATTCATGTTTCCTGGAAGCTTCAATTTACGAGAAAAGTAAAATAAAAATATTTTTATTTTATTTTCATTTGTATAAAATTTATATAAATTTGAGACTCTAATTTTTACATATTTTCACACGGTCCCAAAAATTCGATATTGGGCCCTTTATGGGATCAGATGGCTGTCATTGAAAATCTCTGCATTGGGTAACAATAATGAGTACCACTATTAATAGTTTACAGCCGTCGATTAGGAGTTTGGGAAACATGTTAGACATAATTCACAATTTAATAGAATGTTTTCTAAGTTTCCTATAAAAATATTTGCAGATTCTCGCGACGAATGTAATGCAGCAGATACATTATGTATCGAGAGAAAGACGAGGAGAGGCCTATGGGAAGTTTAGGGGATTTCGTGGCTGCACTATTTGGCTGACTGGACTCTCGGGTGCTGGGAAAACCTCTATCTCGTTTCAACTTGAAAATTACCTTATTTCTCAGGTAAAATCTTTAATAATTTAACTTTTTAGAAATTCGTGTGGATTTTCAGGTGATAAATATTTCTGCTTAATGTGTGTATATATGTAAAACATAAATATAAACTGTGGCTTAAGGGGATGTTCTAGTCTAGAGGTCAATTTTTCAGATGCTATTTGGGATTCTTTTTCAAGAACCATAAAGACATAATTGTATTGGGATTTATGGCACGATTTTGACCTATATTTAAGGAGTATACACTATTTGTTTCATGAAAAAATATTGAAAATTGTCGAAGATATAGCTAGTTTAGTAGTGCCCCTTCAATTGAATAAGCTTGCACGGTTGCCGCGATTTGGGCTGTTCTTCTTCTCTGAAATGGACAAACAAACATTCATTCTGTTCAGTATGAACGCGACTATCGTCGGTACCAAAAGTATATAAAAATATCGAAGAGAAAATTTTTTGCAGCATTTTAAAGTTAGATTATCGATTTTTGTGCTTTCTCCGACTTTAGCGTGCCAAAAAAAAAAAAAAAAAATAGTTAAAAACATTATATTTTAAAAATTTTTGTACGAGCGATAGAAATACATGTTCTGAAGATACCTGCCAAATTTGGTTGTAATCGATCAATTAGAACTTGAGATATCACGGCAACCATTTTGAAAAAAATGGTCTTGAGAAAAATGCATTTGAAGTATTTCATACGAATATATGTACATGTCGCATGTAATGAACAATAAAGCTGTATAATTTCCACAATTTTCAATAATTTCGTTAAAAAAAAAATTGGAAATATTCTTTAAATATAAATAAATCTGGGTATGGAAACTGGATACCAAAACATATCATGGTTGCCATAGAAAAAATCCCAAAGAAGTCTATTTATTAGTCGAATTACAAGAATACTACCTAAACATGAATAGACTTGCCCTAGGTTGTGCCTAAAGACATGTTTTGATCCAAATTATGCGCTACAAATCGAATTCGTATTTACGTATTAACTAAACAAGTTAATTATTTAATTTATTATATGAACCATTATTTGAATTAAAATTAAACTTTTTTCACTGTCACTTAATACTTTTTTCCTTGTTTATTTATTTGTTTATTACCTAAATAATGTGTATGTGTCCGAGGATGCAACAAATTTTCTTCGACATAAAAGGGTCACGAATGAAGAAGTTTAGGAATAATACGTGAAAGAGTGAAATTTATTCTTCAAGTTAAGAATGAAATTAAGAACAATATACCAAAGAGTAAATATTACTTTTCAAGTCAAAAATAAATTTGCACTCTGATATACACCAAAAAGTAAAATTTTACTTTTTCAGTCAAAAATACATTTACACCTTGGTATACACGGAAAAGTAAAATTTTACTTTCTCAGTCAAAAATAAATTTACATCCTGGTATACACCAAAGAGTAAAATTTTATTCTTTAAGTTGAAAATAAATTTACATTCTGGAATACACCAAAGAGTAAAATTTTACTATTCAAGTCAAAAATAGTTTTTCATACTTTATTATACACCAAACAGTAAAATTTTACTTTTCAAGTCAAAAATAAATTTACACCCTGGTATACACCAAAAAGTAAAATTTTACTATTCAAGTCAAAAATAGTTTTTCATACTTTACTATACACCAAACAGTAAAATTTTACTTTTCAAGTCAAAAATAAATTTACACTCTGGTATACACTAAAAAGTAAAATGTTACTTTCTCAGTCAAAAATAAATTTACACCCTAGTATACACCAAAAAGTAAAATGTTACTTTCTCAGTCAAAAATAAATTTACACCTTGGTATACACCAAAGAGTAAAATTTTACTTTCTCTTCAAATTAAAAATAAATTTACATTCTGGAATACACCAAAGAGTAAAATTTTACTCTTCAAGTCAAAAATAATTTTTCACATTCTACTATACACCAAATAGTAAAATTTTATTCTTCATGTTAAAAATAAATGTACACTCTGGAGTTCACCAAAGAATGAACAAATTTTCTCAGAACGACGCCATTTTCAGGGAATACCAGCCTACAGCTTGGACGGTGACAACGTCCGACGAGGTCTAAACAGGAACCTCGGTTTTGCCAAGGAAGACCGCGAGGAAAACGTTCGTAGAGCAGCCGAGGTAGCAAAACTCTTCTCTGATTGCGGTATAATCACCATCTGCAGCTTCGTTTCGCCGTTCGACGCAGACAGGAAGCTAGCTAGGAAGATCCACGAGGATTTTAACTTACGATTCTTCGAGATCTTCGTGAAGGCCTCGATGGAGACCTGCGAAGCTAGGGACGCGAAAGGGCTCTACGAGAAGGCTAGGAAAGGGATGATCAAAAGCTTCACGGGAATCGGGCAGGAGTACGAGGCACCAAAGCACGCAGACCTAGTCGTGGACACCGAACTTCATGATCTAGGGACTTCGACGAAGATGGTGATCGAGCTCTTAAGAAAGGAGGGAATTCTTCCGAAGATTCGACAGGAGGTCGACGAGCTATTTGTGGAGAAAGAGAGGATAGAAGAGGCGAGGAGAGAGGCGGAGAATCTTTCTAGTACGTTGAAAGTCTTTTTCAACTTTTATTCCATCGTTAGGTTCATTCTCTAATGATAAAAGAGGCAAAAAAGAATTTATTTATTTATCTATTTATCTAGAATTAAAACGAGTGTGGCCCTGAAAGAATGTTAACTGCTTGAGTGCTGAAGCATTTTCTTGCATATACAGGTAATCCTCCTATAACACGGTAGATAGGTTCCTAGAAAATGCCGTGTTGTATGAAACCGTGTTGTATGAGACCCAAAGTCAGTATAAAAAGGGGGGTTACGTTCCGAAAACTTATTAAAAACAAATTTTTTTTAACTCTACATAAACAACATAATTTTTATTAAAAATATAAATGTATGTACAACACAAAACAAAAATATTATTTTAATTTAACGCAACTTTAATTTAATAAATTTCTTCGTCGTCACTGCTCAATATAATCAACCGAGAACGTTTTTCGGTGAAATGATATCGTCTTCACTTTCAGAACTTTTTTCTTCATTTAAAGTTCTTGCATCTTCTTCCCTCTTAAAAAAATCTGTAATTTCACTTTGCTTGCTGGTTCTTAGCAGGTCATTGTAAATTTCTCGGTATGGAGCTAAACAGTTTTGCAGCTCCCTTTTGAATTTTCGACTTCTTTCAGGGTTTGCATTCAAGAAAAATGACTCGAGATTTTCAACTAAGCTTAGGGCTTCTTGTAATTTTTTTAATGTTAAATTATTAACTGCACAATCTTCACCAGTGCCAGTGTCCTCAGAATCGATTTGATTTACAGCTTCAGATGCCATTTCCATTAAATCCGCTTCGTCAACTTCTTCCTCCACTAATAAATCTTGAACGTCCTCCATAGCCATATCCACAAAACCTCCACCTCCGATTGATTTAACAAATTCTAATATGCCACCAATTTCACTTTCTGACAATTCACACGCGTTTTCTATTTCAACTGAAGAGGGCCATATCTTCTTGCAACACGTGTTATAGGATACCGTGTTATAAGAGGGTTCCCGCAATTCATGAATCGTGTTATAGTGAAACCGTGTTATAGGATGCCGTGTTGTAGGAGGGTTACCTGTATGTTAACAGTGCGGAATAAAATGTGCAGTTATTTTCTCGGAAAAATAATAAAAACGGTTATAATTAACCCTAAATATTATATAAAAAGCAATTTTTACGAAAAAAATATTTTGTTATTAAATCGACTCGGGCCTTCTGTCTTCGGGTGAATGTGGGGAATAGTATATGAGGTTTGGGTCTTTCGATGGAGGTAAAGGTTCGGAAGGATGCGAGTCAATTGTTTGTCTATCTATGGAGGATTTGAGAATTTTTATTGAGGATTAGATCGAGTGATGATTGGGGTGTGTAAGGGTTCATCATTCAATTCAAACGGTAACCCACTATAATATCTTATTTAAATCACAATTGGATGATATTTATAAAAGCCGCAATTGATATGAGTACAAATGCCCTCAATTAATGCGAAAATTATATTAAGAAACAGCAGCGCCATCGCGCTTCTACGCATTTTTGGCACAAGACAAGAGAAGCGTGATATCGCTTCGCCGCAAACGGTTAACCCATCTGCATCATGGCTTTACTTAAGGTACCGTGTTGTTCAGGCATCAGCGACGTTCAACTGACGACTAGCCCGTATCACCGCGCGCGTATCAGTACCTACTCATAATGGCAGTTAAAAGGATTTTCACAACAAAAGTAAAACTTGTTAAGAATATAATGAACCGATGTAGATGAGATGCGCACAAAAGGAATCAAACGTGATCTGTGGCATATGAAGAATATTCAGCAATTGGTAATGGAGAAAGTCAGTTCGCGGAATATTCCGCGCTTGGTGATAGACGACACTCGTGGCTCGCGGAATATTCCGCGCTTGGTGATAGACGACTGTCGTGGCTCGCGGAATATTCCGCGCTTGGATGCAAATGGTATTTGAGACATAGGACGAAAGTGACCGCGTGTAAGAGATGTTTATGACAGAGTCGAGTGCGAGAAACGAGCGAAAGTCTAGGAATGCGTCCTGAGTGTTGTATTGCGCGTTCGAGAAAAGGAGGCACAGCGTGTTTACATTTTCGCGGCTGACACTGCGTTGACACTCCCATGATCACAGTCAGTGACCAATGATCTTCGTCACCGTTTTCGGCAAATAGCGGTCATTGCCTGTGATCAAGGGAGTATCAGCGGACTTAATTAATTGTTTAATTAATTTAATTAATTATTTAGAAATTGTTTTCAATATTTATTATCAACTTTGATGAAATATTTTTGTTTCTTCTTTCTTCTTTCTTTTTCTTTTCTGTTTAGTACCGTGTTCATCTCACAGTCATTAGCGATGAAAATAAGGGTTGTTTCTCAAAATTTCGACTAAATTTTAATATTTATAAATTTTAAAACGTGCTTCAACGATCAGTGAGAGTAGAATAGAATTTTGGATTAAATGAAAATATAGAAGACTCGATTGGTTTAAGGTATCGAAATCACTGATGTCGACTTGCAATGGATTCAAGTGCTCGCTGAAGGGTGGGCAACTCCACTTAGGGGTTTCATGAGAGAAGACCAATACTTGCAAGTGAGTATAGTTCGTACCACATTAAAGCACGAATATTTACGAAGATACAAAAATAATTCATTCTATCGAACTCGAAATACATTACAATCCAGTATCAAAATCGTGTTTCCTTATAATGATTATCTTTTATCTCAGAAAGAACAATATTGTAGATGAAGAGCAAAAGATAAGACAAGGAAAAAATACCTAGATTTTTAGTGCACAGATAGAAAATAATTTAATGTAACGCAAATTATTATTATTAAAATAATAATAATTGAAAAAGTAGATGAATAGAAAAATATTATGTTTATATTAAACTTTATTTGAATATTAAAATATCTACATTAAATAATATAGTATATATAACAATATAAATTAAATAACACAAATAAACTAATATTATTAATTATTAATTTTATAAATTATTTTTGACAGTGTCAACATTTCAAGTTTATCGAACAAGATGGAGACGTAATTAATCAGTCGATACCTATTGTACTTCCGGTTAGCACAGCTCAGAAAGAGAGATACGTTAATGCACCAGCTCTGACTCTGAAATATCAAGATAGACCTGTTGCAATTTTAAGGAGACCCGAATTCTTTGCACACCGAAAGGAAGAAAGGTTTGAAAATATCTTTTTCATTATTCCTCTTTACTTTTCTTCAAATTTTTAATTTGTACCATAGTAATTATTTATACCATAGTAATTTGTTTTATTTGTACCATAGCACAAATTTCGAATTTTTATTTGTATCATAGCACAAATTTTTAATTTTTATTTGTACCATAGTAATTTCATTCTCAATACAGTTAATCCTTTGGACTCAAGAAGCGACTTTCAATTGCCATTTAATTGGATTTTAAAAATAGACGTTAATTAATATATCGAATTTAAAACTATCCAATGATGCGTGGAATGTCGAAATAAAATAATTCTACGTCTTAATTTCTATACGATTTCTTATTTACTGTTTTAAAAATATCGTCCACTTCATGGCAGAAAATCTTCGAATTACTATTTTTCTATAACACAAAAATCGCCGAGTGCAGGGGATTAATTAACAGTATCGTTGCAATATTATTAACAGACGAAATAAAAATCACTGAAATTGTTAATAATTCCTAATTTCAAATACCATAAAAAATATTGCAATAAATTCCAAAATATTCAAGTGAAATATTTGTCACGATCTTAATTAATTTTCCTTTTCTCGAACAAGATTTATGTTTGATTCTTAAATAAAAATACAATAAAATTTGTTTTCACCTAAAAAGTCTAAATAACAAAATAAAATTGCAAAAATTTAATTCATTACGTTTCCCAATTTAAAAAAATTATATGTCATATACCTCTTCATTCTATGAAACAGCTACTACATCGCACCTCTCTGTCAAAAAATTTTTTTTTATGCTTATACACATCTCGTCTATTTGTATATTTTTATTTTTATTTGTTACCATTAATTTTATACCTCACTGTAATAATTTTCTTGTAATTTTTCTAATGGGTATCCCGTATAAATAAATAAATAAATATGATACATATTTAAGAGAAGAATAAAAATTCGACGAATCATTAATTTCCAAACATTGGTACATATATAATACATAATACGTGTATAAATAAATAATACATATAATACATTCAACTATATTTATTTAAATATTTAAACATCTTTATAAACAAATTATATATTTTCTGTATTTAAATATTTTCTTATTGAACACATATTTAAGCATTTTTAGAAAAAAAAAATTAGAAAATTCGTGGTAGGTGTTGCAGAGAATTCGGAACAAGCAATCCTGGACACCCATACATAAAATTAATTAACGAATCCGGTGACTGGCTCGTTGGTGGAGAACTGGAGGTCCTGGAAAGGATTAGGTGGAACGATGGCCTCGACAAGTACAGGCTCACCCCTAACGAAATTCGAAAGAAGTGTAGAGAAATGGGTGCAGATTCTGTTTTTGCTTTTCAATTAAGAAATCCGATTCACAATGGCCATGCACTATTAATGCAGGTTTCTAATTGTTAATATCATAAAATTAAATTCGATATAAAATTCTACAATAATATAAGATCTAAAATACTAAATATCGAATTTAAGTACGCAATGAAAGATTCTTTGCAAAGAAATTTTAGAAAAATAATTTTTCTTTTTGATAAAAATATTATAGCATTTTTAATTGTTGCACAATCGAAAATATTTGCAATAATTATTTATTGGTTATTTTTCAAATTAATATCGTATATTACTTAAAGTATAGTTCAAGTTCAATATCGAATATTTTTTAAATTCGAAGTATTATTTGAGTTTTCTTTATCATTATAATTAAATTTCAATGTAATATTTCTAATACTACTAAAGATAGACCCAGAGAAAAGACATAAATTATCATATGAATTTCGTAAAATTGAATTTGTAAAATTATAAAATTTAAATATATTTAATATAAAAATTTATAAATTTATAAAATTCTGAAGTACATTAAGAATTTTTATTTTTCTAAAATTTTTTGGTTTCGCGGATTTTAAATTAAGTGTAAGGCATGAAAGATCACGTGTTCATATACAAGGTGTCTCCTTTAAATTGACACAACAAAAGATTCCTTAGACAGATGATGTAAAGAAAATAATCTGTCTTTTAATATTTCGACACATAAAATACAAAAATACTAAATACTAGAAGATAAACACACTAAAAAGCATACAACAGTTTATATTTATTAAATCACTTGTTTATGAGAATCTTCATTGTGTCAACAAAAATGCAATACCCTGTATGTAAGTCATGTATAATATTTTCTTGTCTTATACGTTATAACGTGTACTAAGAAAAGTCCAATTAATTCGAAAAATTCGAACACATTTTTGAATGAAAAATTATTCTCAAATTAAATACCGTTACTATTTTCTAAAGAATAATTATTATTAAAATTGGTATTAGGATACAAGAAAATACCTCGTTGAGAAACGTGGTTTTAAAAAACCAGTTCTATTACTGCATCCTTTGGGAGGATGGACTAAAGAAGATGACGTACCTTTACCAGTAAGAATAAACCAACACCAAAGTGTACTCGAAGAGGGTGTCTTACACGAAGACACCATACTTGCCATTTTTCCAAGCCCAATGCTTTATGCTGGACCCACAGAGGTATTATTATTAATTTTCTTTGTGAATTTTTTATTTTATATTTACACTGTAGAGAGATGCAAATAAAATAATAATATCAAATAAATCTAGCAAATAAATTACATAATAAATCTACATAAATTTATATTAATCTAAATAAATATATAATAATTAAATAATAAATCAATAAAGTAAGTCTTGTAAATAAATTATATAATAAATCAATAAAATAAATTTTGTAAATAAATAATATATATGACTTTAATTAATATTCAACATTATAAAAAGAGAAGTCAAACTACTATTTGAATAATTTTTATGTAACTTGAAAAAATAAAAAAGGACGCTTAAAAATTATTATGTATGAAAGTTAAACAATTATTGAAAATTGCAAAATTTAAAAGGTATATTATAGAATAGTTAAAGCAGCATTTAAATATGTGAATTTACGACAAACCAAATCTTGAAATACATTTTTAATATTTTAAATTTAGAAATCATTTGAAATTTAGTATTAAAAATATGTTATAATAATGATAAGTAACTTTTTTTCAATTTTAGGTGCAGTGGCATGCCAAAGCAAGAATGATGGCAGGGGCAAACTTTTACATAGTTGGTCGTGATCCTGCAGGTTTACCTCACCCTGACAAATCTAAAACCCCAGATGGTAATATTTTAATAATAAAAATTACAATTTTCTTTTATTTCTACTTATTTTTCATTTCTTTTCTATTCCAACCATTTTTATACTTCCAATAAATCTTTACATCTACTAATATTTGACAAAAATATCTCTCTAATGTCTTAACTTTGTCCTCATACATATATTGTTACTAAAAAATTGATCAAAGTAAAATAAAAATATATTAAAAAATTAAGATAAGTATTTGATAAAAAAGAATTCGATATATCATATTTTATGAAATATGAATTTAGAAAATATTGTTATAATATATATTTTTGTTTAAATTATTCTAAGGAAAATTATATTAAAAAATCATATTTATTATTAAATTATTAATTAATTGGAATGTAAAATTAGGTAATCTATACGATGGGACACATGGCTCAAGAGTCCTGTCGATGGCACCAGGCCTTCAAAATCTCGAAATAATTCCATTTAGGGTAGCAGCTTACGATAATAGAACAAGAAAAATGACATTCTTCGAACCAGAACGATCGCAGGATTTCAATTTTATATCTGGGACTAAAATGAGAAGTAAGATACCTTCATACTACAATAGCAATTACAGAATACTCTTATTTTCAATTATTTTTTAATCTTACCTTTCCAATTCACAATAATACAAAATTAGCATATTTGAAATTATATATTTATATCTGATATATTCAAAATTATTAAAAAAAATAATCTCTTATTTTGCATACTCTAAAAAAATATGAAAAATGAATAAATAAATAAAAAATAAATTAATCTGTCAATACAACAAAATTTAATTTAAATTTAAAAATTTAATTTAAATATTATGTTAAAACAAATGGAAATATTAAATTATAGTTGTATATATAATATACGAATATGCTGATGATATTAGTATAAAATATAATCAAAGCCACTGTACGAAACTAATTATTTTAAATAACAAATCATCCGATTATTTTAGATTTAGCAAAATCTGGTGAAAATCCGCCTGAAGGATTTATGGCGCCAAAGGCGTGGCAAATCATCGTAGATTACTATAAAAAGCAATTAAGCAATGAATTCTAAATTCTGTTAGACACAATTCTCATACAAAGGGTAATGTTTATAAACACAAAATATTTTCTGTTTAAATTTAATTTAATAATTAAAATGATAAATAAAAACATCTGTTCTGCACAAAAACGACTTATTCCTTACACTTATAAAAGACAATGATCTCGTTGGTTACAAATAAAGTACATCAAAGTAATTTATTTATAATCTTCGTTAAAAATGATCATTAAAAAGGTGAGGAGTGGGGGATGAAAATAAATAACTTTAATTTATTTCTTCTCTAATATCGATATACATATACTCCTATACCCATTTATATCTCTATGTATATATACTTACGTTTATTGCATTAGACACGAGAAATTCGTAATTTAGAGCTTTATTTCAGGGACGTATACCCCTTTAGGTTTTCCTTTCGTATTTTTTTTTTCCTATTTCTTGCTTTTCTTTTCTTTTGCTCTTTCGAAAGACAGTGGAAAAAGAGAAAGGTACGACGATTAAGATTTAGTCCGTTTATTTTCTAACGAAATGTTGTTTTAGTCCGGTACACCTGGAAGATAAAGACAAAACTTTTAATTTATCTTTTAAAGATTTCTTATTTCTAATTTTCCCCTTTACTTTCTTCGCTAATAATTCAAGCTCTATAAATAATCAGAATTTCTTAAATATCACTAGATGCTCGTACCACATATATATAATTAAAAATTAATTAATTTTATCTATGTATATTCTTATACATTAAAATACATAAAAAAGAAAATAAATAAATCAATTTCATACTTATTCTCATATACTAAATTGATTTTATACATATTCCAATACATTAAAATATATATGAAAAAAATTTTTTAGAATTATTGTAAAATTAAAATATAAAAAAGTAAAATTAATCTATTTTATATACACTCCTATATATAAAAGAAATAAAAAATAAATAGTTTCTATATATATTCTTACACATTAAAATACATAAGATAAAATTAATTGATTCTAAATGTATATATTATATATTAAAATATATGAGCAAATAGATTCCTTCAATTCCTATAAATCAAAATACGTAAAACTATGTAAAAACAATGTAAAAACTGTACAAAAATATATAAAAATGTGTAAAACTAAATAAACTGATATATATGTATATGTGCTTAAATTGGATATGTACCCGTATATATATACAATATACAATGTAAAAACTGTAAAAAAATATGTAAAAACAAAATAAATTGCATATATATTCGTTCTTTCGTGTTAAAGTATATAAGAAAAATTAATCAAACATTAGATATGTACTAAATTATTTTATCATCCCTTGTCGCATTTCATAACTAACCCTCTTCCTCAGAATCGGATATCCGCGTAGCTTGCAAAGAGCTTTGCTTCGACAGAGTTCTTCCATGAGCACGGGGCCTAGCAGGTGGCGATTGTTTGTTCCAAAGTGCTTCGAGTTGATCGAAATGTTGCGACTGAGCGAGAGCAGCCTGCTCCGGTCCTAATCCGGAGGGACTATTCGTTAATCCAACCTTGCTGATCTCGTCCATGGAAGCGCTTACGCTAAATCGTCGTTGTAATCCATCCTCCACTGATGACGTCAGAATTCCTGCACAAACATACATACACTCCTCACTTAAGGGTATTAAATAAATATAATTCATTTCATTAAATCATATGCACTTTCCTTGGAATATAAACAATTACTTTAAGTACATTTAAAATTCTTTGTAACATTTTTCATTTACTGTTTCTTATTACTGTTACTTATTTTAAATAAAACAAAATATTATATATTAACACCTAAAAGCTATTGTCTCTACTTAATACCATTAGTGCTACAAATTTTATGTAAAGATAATTTTAAATGGCATACAAATTTCAATAGCTATTGTTCTTCAAGGCTTTTCCACTTAAAACGTCAAGGGTCCTGTTTTTATGTCCTCTGAATAGCTTGATAACGTGTTTTTATCAATAATTGGCTGATACGATTCACTCGATTAGCGATTTGTTTTCGTAAAAATTACGTCACTTTGCTGACTCCCGAGTTTCCCTCGTGAAAATTACGCCATCTTGCCGATCCGCGATTCGCTCCCTGTGACCATTACGATTCCCTTGTTTTACGTTTTACCTCCTTCTCCTTCACACCCGGTAAAAACTGTGCAACTTACAAGGAGAGTGCAAATCCTTCGGGTCACCGATTTGGTTCAAACTTTGCAGGTTTGTAGATCTCGTCATGCAGTTCAAGAAAATATACCATTATAGGGGCAACTACTCAGTAGTTTACAAAAAAAAAAAGAAAAAAAATGGAGAAAAAAGTACCAAATTATGGACGGAAATCGTACCCTGACCCCCAGCGTAAGAATTTTCGGACGTCGCCGCTGGGTCACAACGCTACTTGAAAATTAGTGGAAATACATCTGTAGTTAACCCCTTGGCTACTGTGGGTGCATATACGCGCTCAGAAATTTTGCTTTTGTGACACGGAAGGTGCATATAAGCGCTCAACACGGTTTGCTTTTCTGACACAGAGGGCGCATCTCTACCCAAAATTTTGCCGTTCTCGGCGGACATTGTAAATGAATTCCTACCCGTGTGGTACGACCGGTGCGTTTCAAAGTCTGCCGTAACCAAAGGGTTAAGGAAGTAATAAAACTTTAATTATAAATATCTCAGAAACTACTGAGTAGTTGCCCCTATAATGGTATATTTTCTTGAACTGCATGACGAGATCTACAAACCTGCAAAGTTTGAACCAAATCGGTGACCCGAAGGACTTGTACTCTCCTTGTTAGCTTCGCTTCTAAAAGTAGCCTTTCATAAGGGTATTAGTGAATTTTCGACATGCTTTCTAGAATAATACCAAACCCGAAGGACTTGTACTCTCCTTGTTAGCTTCACTTCTAAAAGTAGCCTTTCATAAGGGTATTAGTGAATTTTCGACATGCTTTCTAGAATAATACCCTGCATAGGTCATTGGCCGATTTGCAATTTGTTTTTCTAAAGTAAGATCCTGTATCGGCATTGGCCGGTTTGTAATTTGTTTCTCTACAATAAGATACCAAATCAGCATTGGCTAATTTGTGATTTCTTTTCCTAAATAGCATCCTACAATATTTACACTCAATTTTTGAAATCTTCCATTATCAATACCTGATGTAAGATGACCATATTTCCTATGCCACGTATCGCTATCCAAAGACACCTCTTTCTTCAGTAGCCTCTTATTAGGTCTCTTCGGTCCAGGTGGCCTCAGATCTCTGGTGTCGCACCAAGGCGCCACATAATCCGGTAATTTCACGTATTGCGCCGGAGTATTGTGCAAACAGAGGATAGGCATGCACTTGTGTTCAAGCAAATGTAACGCGAGCCTCGACAGATCAGTGGCAACCTCTAAACCCAGTACAGGGACATGTAACATTATGCTACTGAGGGAGCAACCCTTTTTCGTGTCCCAAATGATCAAACTCTTGTCCTCGCTGCCAGAGGCTGCCAAACTTCCATCTCCTGACAGCTTGACGCATGTTATGTAACCTAAGTGCCCTTTCAGAGTGTGAAGATCGCTGCCAGTGTTGATATCCCAGACGATTAGATTAGCATCCTTGGAACCGGATACTACGATGGATTTATCGAGGACTGCAACTCCAACGCAGGTGACGTGATCCGTGTGACCAACAAGGACCTGGACAAAAATTTGTTGAACTTTTTAAATTTTGATAGTGGTTTGAAATAGTAAGATAAGTGTATTCCTTTCTTTTTTGTATACTATAATGTCATAAATGATTTATTATGATTATTTTTCATATTTACTACAATATACTTTGAATTAATCTTGTTTTAAAAATATTCGTTAATTAGTATTTATAAATTCCTTGATATATGTATTGGTTTATATATTCAGTTATTAATAGTAAGGTAGGTATATACTATTCCTTTCTTTTTTCTTTTTGCATACAGTAATGTACGCGTGCATTTAATTTTGGCTAACAAGGAGAGTGAAAGTTCTTTGGGTCATCGAGCTAGTTGAAACTTTGCAGGTTTGTAGATTTGGTCATGCAGTTCAAGAAAATGTATCATTATAGGGGCAACTACTCAATAGTTTTTGAGATATTTACGATTAAAGTTTTATTACTTCTTTAACACGTTAAGTCCCAAGGGACTGGCCCAGACTAGGACCAAAAAGTGCTAACTTCAAGCAAGAAGTAATTTTGATAGAAAACACAGGTTCTTAATTAAAAATTGATAATATTGCTCAACAATGAAGACGCGTTGTTCCTTCGTGTGGTGCTTCAGTTAATATCCCTGAACTGTCAGTTATCACTGTTGCGTCCCGAACACTGCAACTCGCACGGTGGGAGTTTCGTGGGGTTGTAAAGCCCGTTTACACGGATGCGACAATATTGTTGGGACCCGGCCAACCCTAAATTAATAGAGCTAGACCTGGTTAGCGTTGAATTACAGAGTTCTGATGTGTTACCGTCTCTCGTACTGAGTTAATCGTCGTGGGTCTTTCCTGATAGTCTGGTCGTGATGTTTGTCCGTTTTCGTGAGATTTTTAGGAGAACTCTGTCTCCGTGGTTTTATAAGTTTTGTTTATTTACTGATTAGTTGGTGTGAAATGTAAGAGGTGGGTGTGTGTCATTCTATTGGTTGTGAATAATATAGGGGGGGGGGGGGGGGGTGTTAGCTTCGACGTTTTTCGGTGGTGGTGGATGTTTAATACGTTAAGTGCTAGACTTTCCGTTCGGGCCCAGACTAGGACCAAAAAGTGCTAACTTTTTGTGTTAAATTCTTCGCCATCTTTGGACCTGACGTTTGAGAATTCCTGTTATAACAATCGGTACAGTATCTCCGAGTTTTATGAACACTTCGCCTGCCGCCGGTGGTCCACTTGACGACCGAGTCTGGGCCTGAACGAAACGGCAAGCAAAACGGGCTGGGCACTTAACGTGTTAACTACAGATTTATTTCCAATACTTTCCAAAGGTGGCGTTGTGACCTAACGTCGACATCCGAAAATTCCTATGCTGGAAGTCCGGGGCATATATCTAAAAAACTATTGGATAATTGGCTCTATAATGATATATTTTCTAGAATTGCATGACCAAATCTACAAAGCTGCAAAGTTTCAACTAAATCGATGACACGAAGGACTTGCACTCTCCTTGTAAGATGGATGAACTACCAGTATAAGTATGTACTCATTGTCAGTGAATATTCAAAGTGGATTTTCTCGACAATGAAGCTTCGAATGAAAAAATTTTATTTTTTATTTTTTATTTGTTTTTTCGTGTAGAATCACCCTATATCCGGTTGTACTACCTTTGCTGAGACACCTTGTACATCACTGTTTAACCAACTATTTTTGTTGTTCAACCTTATTGTAAACTATGTATATGCGGATCGAATACTATACATTTGTGGAGACTCGATTGGGATTGAATACTATTCGTATGTACGTATAAAATAACAAAATTGACTTTCAAATTTTCAGAAAGCTTGTATCTATGAAAGAAATGCATGCACTATATGTGTCTCTTTAAATCATGCAATTTTTATATAAAACAATTTTTCGTGCAAAGCGTAGTTTAGAAGTCATAGATGTATACAGATATATTATGCTAATTAGTGTATATTAGATTTAACCGAAAAATACACACCTGTGACAATTTTCCACCAGCAAGCTGCCAAACTTTTAAACTCATATCCCTAGAACCCGTAATCAACAAACGAGAATCTGGAGTAACAACCAGACAAGTAATTTCTTGAGAATGCGATACTTGGTACTTCTCTTCAGGACCAGCTCCCAAACTTACTATTTTTAATTGATTGTCTCCTGCACCGCATACCGCATATCTGAAATTAAAATATAATAATTATTTGTTATATTTTTTAAATTTGGAAATGCTATTATCACTGTAGCACATATATTTTGAAATACGGAACCATTATTGTTATTATCATTAAGAAATTATTCAAATAATATTAAACTAAGAAGACAAGAAAAAATTAAAAATTAAAAAAGAAACTATTGAAGTAATGAAATACAAAACTTGTTTTTAAAACGATATTTGTAATATTTGCAGCAATAAAGATATTTTCAGTAATATCGATATTATTGTTATATTTATAGTATTATATTATATAGTATAGTATTATACTATATATTACGGTTACAATTATATTATTATAGTTTTAGTTATTAGAAAACACTGTACAACAAATTTTAACTTCCTTCTAATCTGTAATATCCAATAGGTGATTTATGTAGAGTCTACTTTCCTGAACACGAATCTGTAATCAAAATTGCTCTATTACCCATAATTTTAGACAAATTTGAGTTTTTCTAAAAATGAGCGATTTTTGGCTAAAATGAAGTATTACGTAAAAAGTAAGAAGGTTAGAAGGTTCATTGTCATATTATAAGTTAGGTGAGAGAATTCTTAATTTATCGGTGTCTATAATTGTAACTATTTATGCTCCTCAATAACTATAATTGGCCATCAAAATTTAATAACGAATCGCCGAGCGCACTTTCTGCGCATATTTTTGCATTTTTATAAAAGATTCTTTATCCGAAGCGAATTTGCTACACGGTATTGTATTCTGTAGGTTTTTCTGAAGAAGAACCCATCTAGAAACGATATTAGGACGATCTTGAATGATGACAGAATCGTAAAATATATATCAAGAACCTGTAAGCGGGATTTTGCCGCCACGCAGCCATTGTTCGCACATCTAGCTTCGTCAGGGCCGTCGTCACGCATAATCGACACCAAAATCATCGTCCAATAGATCTTGTTTTTTACACGTATAACATGTATACGTTTTCATATACTTTTTTATACTAATCGTAAAATTATAAAAAATTTCTCTGAATTACTTGCCATTTGAAACAGGTTCGTTATTTGAAACATAAATACAAATATGTTAGGATATTTCAAATTAAAATTCGTGTTGAACAGTGCAATCTTCCATTAGAAAATTGAATTATACTGACATATTTCAATTGAGATATAATCTAAAAAAGTATTTAAATTAATAGTACTATTTTTATTTCTAATTTTATTTGAAAAATTCGGCAAATTAAAGGAAGTTTATTGTTAATTACATGGCAGTTTATACCTCATATCAGGTGAAACTGTAAAACATCGACCAGGTCCGCATACTGATTGAATTAGGGTACCAGTATCAGCTGCCCAAACGCGGATTGTACCAGCTCTATCTGAGCTAACTACTCGTCGTCCATCAAACATGGCCGTTACTGCAGTTACAGGTGCCTGGTGCTTAAACGTTGCCACTACTAAACCTAAAGTCAGACCCCACACACGAACCGTCTTGTCTTCCGAACCTATTTTTAATTAAATATATTATTATTGAATTTTTATTAATTTTTACTAACTTTCATTTTTATATATGTACACGTACACATATAAAAACGAAAAAATTTATTATACTAAATGCAAGAATTTGGCTACTAATTTATTATATTTTGAATTCAAATGAAAAAGTTTGATTTAAAATTTTTAAGAAATTTTCTAAAAAAAATGAAAGATATATTCGTAACTCAATCATATACAATAACTCATTACTAACATACTATCATTACTCATTACTCATTACTAACATACTAGTACTGTGGTACTAACATACTACATATACTATCCATTTCTTGAAAATTAGCATAAAATTATATATGAAAATATTCTATAATAATTGTGAAAACGTGTATAGTATAATGTGTAGATGTAACGAAATTTTTGAACTTTTCTTCAATTTTACAAAAAAGCAATAATACCTTTTAATGTGCAAGATTTATAAGAACCACTATCTTTTTATATGTTTTTCTCTCTCTTTTTTTTAAATATTATATTTTAATTTTTTAAATAGAACCATCCATTAATCTTCATAAACTTCATGAATTTATTTCTGTAAATTTTTGAAAATTCAAAAATACGTATATTACGAAGGTATAATATACACCTACTGTGCAACTAATTCAACTATTATTCGATAAAATAATAATATTCCATAAAATTCAGATAATATTATAACATATTATAAAATTCACACATTACCCAATAAAATTATAATATATCATAACAGGTATCTTAATAAAATCCTAGTAAAATCATAGTATACATTAAAAATGAATATTTTTCTCCAAAAATTTTTTTCTAAAACTACGATGACATTTTTTATCGCTATACCTACCAGAAGCAACAAATAAACCGGAAGCAGAAAACGCAATGCAGGTCACACTAGCAATATGCCCTTCGAAAGTGGAAAGCAGCTCATGAGTGTTTAATTGCCAGAGATTTACAAGAGAATCGACTCCACCGGTGACCGCCATTGCTCCGTCCCTGGATATATCCAAACAAGATATAGGAGCAGTGTGTGGGTGCAACGATTCTTGTTTGCTGGATTTTGGGGGTTTAGTGTGGGCCTCCTCACCACGGAAACTCCAGTAAGTCACTCGATCACCGGAAGCTGTTATTAGGAAGTCGTCCTTCTCTGTTACCTTGAAGAGAAAATGTCATTTAAAGTTAACATAATAAGACATAAAAATTCTACTTATAGAAGATATATTATTAAAACTATATATTGGTATCAGAAGCTAATAAATTAAAAAAATGTAAATTTTTCACTTTTCATATTATTTACTGCTAACACGCATTATTATTTGCGATATTTACTATATTTACTGTGTTATTTACTGTAGAATAACATTATAGTATTAATTACTATAGAACGATTGATATGTATTCTTAAAAAAATAAAATCAAAAGTTAATAATTTCGGTAATTATATTTTTCTGATTTCGTAGGCACATGTTAGCTCCATTGCACTTGGTACCCGAATTATGCGTAGCTACGGCACTGTCGAGGCTAGAGAAACGAACAATGGCTGTGTGACGGTAAAACGCCGTATGCACATTATATACGAATATTTCCTCCATCTAATCAAATTGAAAACTGTTTCGATAATTTTGTTCCATGGTTTCTTCTCCATACAAGCTTACAAACTACAATACTGCGTAGAAAATGCGTGTCAGATAAAGAACTTTTTCTAAAAATGCAAAGATAATGCGTAGAAAGTACGTTCAACAGCTTATTTTTAAATTTTGATGACCAATTATAATTCAGAAACACAAATAATTATAATTATGGACATTGATAAATTCGGGATAATCTCATCTAACTGTTAAAATAAGAATGAACTTTCCAGCATTCTTACTTTTCACACAATACTTAATTTTAGTAAGAAATCGTCGTTTTTGTCGTCAGTTTCGTCGAAAACTGAGGGTGATAGAGCAATTTCGTTTAGGAATTCGTGTTTAGAAGGGTAAACTCTATAGGAATTACCCAATGGATGATACAGATTAAAATTGTGCTGAACAGTGTGATTCTGGGTACTTTTATGTTAGGTTATGTAAATGAGGCTTTACCTTAACAGCAGTGACATCTGTTGACGGGTTCGCTGGTAACGTTCTTGTCAATCTTCCACTGTGCATGTCAAACACGGAAACCTTGCCCTTGATACCGCCAGCAATGGCTCGTCTGCAATCTCTCGCCAAGCAGATGCTCTTCACTTCACCCTGATGACCTCTCAACGTATGAATATCAGTTCCCGTCGCCAGAGACCTCAAATACAATTTCTGGTCTTCGCAGGCCGCTAACAGGAACACGGAATCAGCTGACACGTCAAGCATAGTCACCGCGGATGGCAATTCGATGCATTTCAACAACGTGAACTTCATTAGACACCACAGACAGACCGTGTAGTCGGAAGAACCAGAAACGAGGATTTCGCCAGCTGAGTCAACGCGAATGGAATTCACAGGCCCTCTATGGTGGTCCACTTTGATGAGAACATTCCCGTTTAGAAGACTCGTGATGATTATTCTGGAATCCTCTCCTCCACTAGAAAAAGACAGAGATGTTGAAATAAATCTCTTGAGATATATTATATATGTGATATAATAATTAATATATTTAATAAATTACTGTATAATATATATCTCTTGAAATGAATCTTGATTTTGAGATTAAATAATTTAAATAGCAATTACTATAGTACAGACCAAATGTATTGACCAACTGTGTCCTCATATTAAAATTCATGGCAAAGGTAATAAAGTTACTTTCCAAGCAATATTTGAGGAAGTCAAGACTTTATGAAGCATTGCATACACCAGTGTCTATCACAGAGTTTATCATCAGAGTTATCTGACTTCTAAGCTAAGAAGAGTATTGAAGTAAGAGGAATGCATCTTGATTTCTTTGAGATTGCATCTCTGAAATAGTTGGATGAAGTAATATAGTTGAGACAAGGATAGATAATACTGTGACTTCTCTTATTAATTTTACACAACCAATATTTGTGAATTTTACTAAAATAAGTAAATGACAAGGATAAATAATGTTGTGACAACTCTATTACTGATTCTGAATGATCAGTATTTGTAAATTTTACAAAAATAACTAAATTTATATATGTAGTGGTTTGATAAATGAATAGTAGACTATGATTGTATTTATTTTCTCTGAAAAATAACATGATCCATCTAGTTTTGTAGTGATATTCACTTTTTGTTTTATGCTTTATGAAGGTAAACTTCATCTATCTTTTACAGTAATACGCTTCCTTTGTCTCCATCCAGTCTCTGTTCTTTATTATCCTACATCTATCTTTTATAACAATACACTTTCCTTGTTTTCCTTTGTTTCACAGTACAGTCCCCTCATTTTTCCCCTTTCTGTTTACTCTGTAAACTCTCGTCATTTTTTTATCTGTACTAACAGTAAAAGCTTATCTGTGGTAAGTGGTGAAGTAAAACTGATTTTAATCAGTAATATATTTGACCTGTACTGTAATAGTAAAGTTAAAAGTATTAATAAATTAACTAGTAAAAATATATTAAATTTATTATGATCTGTTTTAGATATAAAAATGATAGTCATATATGATGATTAAATTTTGTTTTAAAATAGTAGTTACATTTATAAAATCTATGAATGTATCTGTGTAATAAATAAAGATTAAATTAATACAATAATAATAACACGAGCAATCTTTGAGAAATTGTTTAACAAAGAAGTTTATTTTAACATAGGAGATATACCACTATAGTTCCAGCATAATTTCTACTGTTCATTGTTAGAATATTGCAATAGAAATTATACTTTTCATAAATGAAGAAACACTGTATTAATGGGTATCAATACAAGTTTAGAAATGCTTTCTTCCTTTGTTATAAACATTTCATTTGTACTTCTATATAGCATTACATATTGAAATTGGAAGCATAATTATTGTACTTCTATTATATTATTATATTAGATATTACAAAAATAGACCAAATTCTATTATTTTCTTTTTAATTTTTTTTCTAGTAAAAATTTTGACTTTTATTAAGAATTAGGAAATAGCATTTCCAGTTTTCTATCTGTATTGTCCTTGTACAAGATGAAATCATGAACCTGACAATCACAGAATTCTTGAGTGCGGATGTCAAGCATAAAACAGGGGCGATGTGTTCTTGGATTCTCAGCTTCAAGGTTAATTCCTTCATATCCCAGACTATAATCGAAGTGTCCTCGGAGCCTGTCAGTAGATATTGCGAGTGTTGTGTCACAGCTAAGCACGAAATTGGATTCGAATGTCCTGAAATTATTTTTCAAAAAACTTTCATGTATTTTTCATTAAAAAACTGCTTTTTTAACAATAATTTTAACAACACTTTGCAATTAATTACGACTGAACTAACAATTTATAAATTTTGCACGTGGAATTTGTTGAAAAAAAACAACCACCTTGTATAAAGGAAGATGTTAAAAAAGGACTATTTTTGTCATAGCCTGGAAATGATAAATTCCTTCGGGACTGTTAGGAGTATCCTCCAAGGAACAAAAAATTCCTTTATCACTTTGTCGAGAAACGATGAGAAAATTACCAAGAATGAGTCGAAATATATGAAAATGATACTGATCAAATACAGGGTGTCCCGATAGTACAATGGTAGTACAACCGAGGAGGGGGGTTTTTTCGACATGAAATAACAAATCGAAAATAAAGAACGAAATTTTTTTATTCGAAGCTTCGTTGTCAAGAAAATCGACTTTGAATATTCACTGAGTACACTGATATACTAATGACCTAACCGCCTTAACCAAAGTTAAGTGCACGCGCACTCAGTGAATATTCAAAGCCGATTTTCTCGACAAAGAAGCTTCCAACGAAAAAATTTTATTCTTTATTTTCGATTTGTTTTTTCATGTAGAATAACCCCCTGCTCAATTATACCACCGATATTCATGTATCAGTGGTCTATTCATATAAGCTATAACTAAGTACCCACATACTCGGTGTATGTTCAAAATCGATTTTCTCCATAACAAAGCTTCCAACGAAAAAATTTTATTCTTTATTTTCGACTTGTTTTTTTATGTAGAATCACCTCTCCTCGGTTTTACTACCGTTGCTGAGGCACTCTGTATTGCATCAGTCTCATTTTCACATATTTCGACTCATTTTTGATAACTTTCCTTTTGTTTCTCGGCAAAGTGACAAAAGAATTTTTTGTTTCTTGGAGAATGCTCTTAAAGGACTCAAAGTAATTTTTCTTTTACTGGCGATCCCAAAAATGGCCTTTCTTTAACATCCTTCTTTTCTTGTTATCTATTTATGACTGATAAATAATTTTCAAATAAATTTATGTATTTTCTTTCACACATTTTGCAATAAATTGCACATCAGATGCAAGATTCGTAAATTTGATAAGTTTAACACCTTTATTTTTTTATTTAGAAAATAAATAAAAATATCTCTTTTGTTTATTAGTTCTTCAAAAAAGAGTAGAATATTCGAAGTATTTAATTTTTATATTACTTCATGAAATCAATATTTCAGAGATAAATTGAATTCCTTCTTCATTCTTCTATGAAATGAAAAAAAATAGCATGGTAATATTGCATGCTTAAAATGGCACTTCAGGTGCCATGCACTGCTTTATATTTAGCTGCTTTATATTCTCATAAAAATTGATTTAGTTTGAATTGCAAATGAAACTAGCGTTATCATTTAAATGCACTTTAAATGCAAATCGAGGAAGATTGTACGCGGAAGACTTTTCGCAACAATTACCAAACTGAATATAAAGTGACGAATTTTCATCCCTTTTTCATTTTTCATGCTGAAGCTTTCGAAGGTACTAAGCGTAATAATGCGGTTAAAGTAAAGAGGACTTAACTTCTTTTGCAATAAAGCAGAATATTCAGAAAAGATTTTTTTCTTATCAAACAGAAAATGAAATTCATTAGAATTTTAAATGTTAATAGAAAATATAATAAAATTTAAAAATGAGTAACTAGAATAAAATTACAAATACAACATATATGAAATTTCATATTATTACTATTTATATAATTATAAAGAAATTTTGTATAATTATAAAGAAAAGAATTAATATAAAATTTCACATACAATTAAATATACAGTTAAAAATAAAAATACACCAATTTAATCAAAAATTAATCATTTTAAAAATTGATTAAAAATACGATAATTAAATTGTATATTAAAAAATTATTAACAAATATAATTAAGAAGAAGAAAAACTGTACGAAATTAATTTGTTATAAATTTAAAAAGAATTATATAATTAAAAGAAGGAAGAAAATAAAGTTTGTTTAAAATTCTATATTACTATTAAAGATACATGAATTTTTATGCTATTTATATTTACCTTTAAAGGTATGAACCAACTGTCCTGACATTACATGCCATAACTGCGCATCTCCTTGAAAAGGGACAATGATAACGTGTTGCCCAGAAGGGGCAGCCTCGACGAGTTTTACACCTTGTGGACAAGATAAAGTACGAATTTGAAGAGGCAAAGGTGGTTGAAGCCATCCATTTAATGGTACCAATAATGGAGCTGTATAGCCATCGCACCATGCCATTGCTGCTGTAACCATTCTGCTGACCTTGAATAAAAATTTTCATATTTTCGACAAAAGAGATTTTTCAATCACTATACAAAAATTCAGCCTTACTATATTGAAATTTCAAACACTTAATTAGCCAAAGGGTATAAAATGATCAAGTAATAATGAAACATTGGTCAAAAATATAAAAATAAATTGAAAATAATTAAAAATAATTATTTAATATCGTAGAACTAGTATTGAAAATTCTATCTCCTCGAAAAATAATTTAAGCAACAATTAAGAAATAAAAAGTATAAACAAGTAAAAATTCTACTTTTGTGTACTACACAGAAATAACTTTTCATGTAAGTAGGTACATTATATTATATTTTCATTTTAAAAATATGTAAATCTTCAAATGATTAAAGTATACCTAAATAAAAATAAAATATCTGTTAAAAATAAAACTCTTTATAACTAAAGTTCAAGCTTGTACTTAACAAATTGTATTATATAAATTAAAATTTTAATTCATAGGAAAATAGTCTAAATAAAAATATTTATTATTATTGTTATTATTTTATTCATAAACGGACCGTAGTCCATTAACATAACATTTCACATATAAAAGAAAAGCAAATAAATTATACATAATATAACACCGAATAAACGCTTTGTTCAGGAGGAATAGATTTAATCAATAATCATTCGTAATTGTCCTTTGAAAATTTGTAAAGACCCATGAAAAAAATTTATGCGATTATAAAGAGTGTTTGAGTCAGTAATAATACGATAAATTGGATTAATTAATACATATATAGATCTGGACATATGTATATGAAAACCTGCTGTTGATATCGATACACGTTCTGGCACGTGGAAATTAATTTGCGTAAGGAGAGAGGAGCAATCAATGTGATTATTAATTAAATGATTATTAATTAAAATGATAAAATTATGGTCAGCTATTCTTCTGCGTATAGACAATGTTTCCAGGTTGACAGTATTTAATATTGCGGAGTAATCATGATCAAAAATTGATATTGGATTATTTAACTTATATGCATAAAATCTGAGAAATTTATGCTGCAGTCTCTTGATCGTGATTTCGCGATTAAAGCTTTTCTGAGACTATATAATTGAAGCGTATTCCAGTAAGGGACGAACAAGGGTAATATATAGCTGTCTTGTAGTGCGAATTAAATGAAAATCAGAGGAAGAACGTAGAATGAAACCGAGAGTTCTAGAAGCGGAGTTAACAATATAAGAAATATGGCTGGAAAAATTTAACACTAGATTTACGGAACCCGTCAATTTGACGGAAAGGTTACACCAATTATACGATGGTAACAGATTTAGTTAACTTATATTAAGACTGTTAATATAATATATAATTGTTTTTAAATTAAACTAATCGTTAAAAAAAAGGCACGTGGTTTCCTTTACCTGTCAATTTGACAGGTGTCCTTAGAAATAGGTATACAGATAGCGTCCGTAAACCTAGTGTTAAGGTAGGAGAGAAATATTTATTATACATATAAATATTAAAAATATTTATAAAAATAATATCCCAATATTACCAAGCATTTGATTTCTCACCAAATCACCACCATCTTCAGCCACAGGCCTCAGCCAACAGATCAACTGCGCCCCAAGTTGGAGAGGATCCCTCGTTAAAATGTCACTAGACTTCCTCACAGTGTAGTACACCAGCTCCAAGTCCCTCTCCAATAGATATTTTCGCGAATGCTCAAGAACGCATCTCAAGTAACTGACAGAAATCATTTGGACAGCAGCTAGGAGGAAGTCAAACGCGCAGACTGCCAATTTCTTCAACTTTTCCACGTCTCCAGCTCGTAACAAGTGCAACCAAGCTTCTTCCACGTGTCTAAGGTTGTAGGCTGTGTCCTGGGACCTTGGTCTGCTCTGGAAAGGTGTTTCTTTTTTAGGAGTTTCTTCCTCAGGCGAGGACTTGTCATCTTTGTCTTCGAAATCTTCTGAAAAGAAAAGATTCGCCAACTCTCCGTGGTAGCTCTTCAGAGTCTCCTGGTTGGGGAAGTACCATTTCCGAGCTAGGTCACGGATCGGATATCGCCAGGAGAAAAGCAGTCTTCCGCTCATTACGCGAACCTAATGCAATAGACGTTGATGGTTGATTTTACGAATTGATAAATTTCAAGTATTATACTTTCAATGTATTTAAATTTTAAAAATTAAAAATTTCAAAATCAAATTTACTTTGAAGTATTATAGTTTATTATTATATAGTATATAGTTAATTTGAAGTACAGGTAACCCTCCTATAACACGGTAGATAGGTTCCTAGAAAATGTCGTGTTGTATGAAACCGTGTTGTATGAGACCCAAAGCTAGTACAAAAAGGTGGGTTACGTTCCGAAAACTTATTAAAAACAAATTTTTTTTTAACTCTACATAAACAACTTAATTTTTATTAAAAATATAAATGTATGTACAACACAAAACAAAAATATTATTTTAATTTAACGCAACTTTAATTTAATAAATTTCTTCGTCGTCACTGCTCAATATAATCAACCGAGAACGTTTTTTCGGTGAAATGATATCGTCTTCACTTTCAGAACTTTTTTCTTCATTTAAAGTTCTTGCATCTTCTTCCCTCTTAAAAAAATCTGTAATTTCACTTTGCTTGCTGGTTCTTAGCAGGTCATTGTAAATTTCTCGGTATGGAGCTAAACAGTTTTGCAGCTCCCTTTTGAATTTTCGACTTCTTTCAGGGTTTGCATTCAAGAAAAATGACTCGAGATTTTCAACTAAGCTTAGGGCTTCTTGTAATTTTTTTAATGTTAAATTATTAACTGCACAATCTTCACCAGTGCCAGTGTCCTCAGAATCGATTTGATTTACAGCTTCAGATGCCATTTCCATTAAATTCGCTTCGTCAACTTCTTCCTCCACTAATAAATCTTGAACGTCCTCCATAGCCATATCCACAAAACCTCCACCTCCGATTGATTTAACAAATTCTAATATGCCACCAATTTCATTTTCTCACGATTCACGCGCGTTTTCTATTTCAACCGAAGAGGGCCATATCTTTTTGCAACACGTGTTATAGGATGCCGTGTTATAGGAGGGTTCCCGCAATTCATGAATCGTGTTATAGTGAAACCGTGTTATAGGATACCGTGTTGTAGGAGGGTTATCTGTATTATACTTTGAATGTATTTAAATTTCAAAAATTAAAAATTTCAAAATCAAATTTACTTTGAAGTATTATAGTTTATTTATAGTTTATTATAGTTTATTACTATGTAGTATATAGTTAATTTGAAGTATTGTACTTTCGAATGAAGCTGTCAAAGGTTGTTCAATGAAGAGATTTCTAAATCCCAATTCGAAAGTAGTCTGTCGTTACGATCGTGTTATAAACTTTAGAAATACCGACCTCACGGCTCATTTAGGTATGCCAAGGCGGAATATTCCATATCCTAATAACGCCTAACAAACTTCGAACCGTCCCGTCCGCAAAGGGTTAACTTTCGATTTATAGACAACCCTCACTTACTTCCTAATTCACATATGAATATTGCCAATAATCCCAAAATGACCATTCTTATGCTAGCAGTCGGTTTGCTAGCATCGTTCCTCTCAAAGTTCCCATGTAAGTTGTAGCGAAAATAAATACTTACTTGGAAAACAACAATCGGCGGGTGAATCGATCTTATTGTTAGTAGCAAGTGCGAATAACATAAAATTGAATTTTCAAAATTTATTATTTCAAAAACGAAGTCAAAATTGATAAAATGTTATTCCTTTTATTTTTCTTGTTTTTCTTTTATATATATAAGGAGTCACCTCTAGCTTTCTTTTACATGTCATTCGGGAACACCATGAACAACATGAAATATCAATAAAGTATCGACTTTATTATAAGATATCGATAATAAAAGCTAAGAGTGATGAAGCAATTTAGTTTAGGAATTCGTTTTTAGGAGAGTAAACTCTACAGGAATTATGTAACAGATGTTACAGACTAAAATTCGCGTTGAATAGAGTGATCGATAATCTCAGTTGTAGGTTGAACTTACCTTAAGAAATTCGTTGAAAGTTCTCCTAACCAGGCACCAAGTTGCAAAGTTGAACAATCCATCGTCTAAGAACAAAGGTTCGTCGCCCTTTGTTGGCATAATTACTTCAAGGATTTCTGTCTCTGACAAACCGTACTCCGTGGAAGCCAAGATGGAGCCGATTCTATCCGCCGCACATTCGCCCACTAATTCTTCTAATCTATCGAAAACGTTTTCCGTTTCTTGCGAATCCGAACTCGGGTCTTGGATCTCGATTAAAATCTCGTTACTACGTAGTCTTTCTTTTTGTACTGGAGTGAGCCGTAATACTTCGGGAGGAAGAGCTGTAGTTACGACTAAATGCACCCCTAGAAATCCCCAGGAATAGAAAAATCATGTATCGTGATTTATGTTATCTGTCATCGTGATTTATGTCATCTGTCGTGAATGATGTAGTTTAAAAGATTTACGTTTGAATTGAGAATTTAAACCCAATTTTTAAAATATTTCGATATATATATGTGAATAATGTAGACAGAATAAGAACCAAGGTATTTAGAGCGATGTAAGAAAATGTATGGCCGAAAAATTTGTAAAAATAGTATCGTGAAAATAGTATGACACACGTAGTAAGGAGAAAATTACAAGATTACATCAGTAAAATGAGAAAATAACTCAATGATGTGTACGATATTTGACACAAATATTTATCGGAGATATGAGTCGTGGTGGCGCTAGTGAGTTAAATGGGAAATCGTCTTAATCGTAAGCTAAAACGCTTATTCGTGAAAGGGTTAAGGATAGGAGATTATTAGCTAGATATAGATGCTGGCAAAAAGTCAGAAAAATATAAAAGATGTACAGAGAGAAGGAAGAAAATAAAAAATTGAAATCATGTATCAGTAAATGGGGGAAAAGAAGTACAGGAACAGTAAAAATAATACTTGACGGTCAGGAATAAGGATTAGAAAAATTGAGAACAATAGAGAGGAAAAATAAACTAGATAACAAAAAAGAAAGAAGAAAATAACAAAAAGACAAGACTGGAAAGCAAAGTATAAAGAATATAAGTAATATTGTTTAAGGTTTTAAGCTAGTAATTTAGGTAACAGTTTAGGTTATGGAGGAAAAATAAACTAGATAAGAAAGGAAGAACAAAATAACAAAAAGACAAGAATGGAAAGCAAAATATAAAGAATATAAGCAATATCGTTTAAGGTTTTAAGTCAGTAATTTAGGTAACAGTTTAGGTTATGTCGTTGGTAATTGATAATTGGTTGCACAGCTGAATGGGGCTTGAATCTACATGAAAAAATAAGTCAAAAATATATAAAATATATATAGAAATATAAAATATCGAAAAATAGAAATTTTTTCACACGAGACTTCGTTTTCGAGAAAATCGACTTAAATAAACCTTCTTAATAAATAATAAATATAACATAAATATATATTATAAAAATAATAAATATAGGGAAAAGAAATGTAAGTACATTAATTCAAAATTAACGATATTAACACAATTATAAGTTCTATTGTAACGAGTCGTATACGTTTCACTTGACTCAAGTAGTGCTGGTCACGAATGACAGACGTGTTCAAGATGGTAACACTTTACCTGGTGGTAGGTTCATCGGTAGCCACGACAGAGCAGCGACGATATCGCAGTCGAGTGGATGCAATCGATGAAGATCGTCAAGCAGGATCACTAATTGCTCCTTCATTGGCTCCTCCTCGATCCGTCTCATGATTTGACCCAGCCAATTGTTGAGATAAAGGGGATCGAACGAGGCGTCTTTAGGAAGATTCCCGTCCAATAAACCGGAAAGGAAACCGACATGTTGACAGAGCACTCGAAGCAGCTCGAGACTGTACGCTGATCGAGGTGTGGAAGCACAGAGACGAACCACTCTGAAAGTGGCGCAATCCAGCCAGGAGGAGGCGTCCGTGTAAATTCTTGACAGCAGCGATGATTTCCCGGAGTATTTGCCACCTTTTATGAGTATCGGGCCGTGTTTTTGCGACTTACCTGTTGGTAAATCAGAAATTGACTTTATCATTTGTAGATGGCGCTAGAAAAATTGAAGTAAAAGATAAGTAAAGGAGTCATTAAACTAACTGAAGTTGTTTCCAACGTTATTTCACGTGGTGTGCATATAAATTATACTTATACTACCGAGAAAATTGGAATTACTATATGATCCGAAGAACAGAAAAATTAAAAAAGAAGGAATTTAAGAAAATTCTGAAGTAGTCGAAACTAAGTCGAAGGGAAGAAAATTTTTATTGATATCTATAGAACTGAATTTGGATTAAAGTTAGAATTATAAGTAAGAAAAGTAGCCTAAGTCTTTGCTTTGATGAAATGAACACGTTTCGAAGATTTCGAAGTTATCCTTGATAATATATGTGGTTAACAACGTTGTCCATCAAATTTTAACTTTTCTCTGATCTGTAATATCCAGAAGGTGATTCTCGCAGAAGTTAATTTCCTGAACACGAATCTCTAATCGAGATTGCTCTGTCACTTTCAGTTTCCGAAAATTTTGAGTTTCTCTAAAAAGGCACAATTTTTATCTAACATGAAGTATTACGTAAAAAGTAAGGTTAGGGGATTCATTGTTATGTTACAAGCTAGGTGAGAGTATTTCGAGTATATCAATGTCTACAATTATAATTATTTATGCTTTCGAATAACTATAATTGGTTATCAAAATTTAAAAATAAGCCGCCGAGCGTACTTTTTATGCATATTCTCGAATTTTTACAAAAATTTCTTTATCTGATACGAATTTGCTATGCAGTAACTTTTCTGACGAAGAAACCATCTAGGAAGAATATTAAAATCATATTCAATATTCACAGGACGATAAAATAAAAATAGAGAACCTGTAGCGGGATTTTCCCGCCACGCAACCATTGCTGGCGCATTTAGTTTCGTCAGGGCTGTGGTTACACGTAATAGACACCAAAATCATCGTCCAGGAAATGTCATTTTTCATATATATCACATGTATATATTGTTATGTACTTTTTTATACTAATCGTAAAATTATTTAAATTGCAAATTTAAAAATATATTCAATATAAATATTAATTAATTAATCTATGTAATAAAATTAATTAAAAATATTAAAAATAAATTTAAATTAAAGAAAAA